AGACCACAACTGCTGCGTTTGTTTGAAAGCCCCAAGAGCAGCAAGTTGGGTGGTTTTGCATGTAGAGCCGTACAAGAAGACAGCATAAATCTTTTATGTGGTGGAACCTGGTCTAGTTAAAAGGGTCAGTCATGCCAGCTGGAAGTGTCGAACAGGAGTCAAACTGAACCCTTGTATCACAGACAGCTTCCGTTCCTAAGTGAAGCAGCATTTATAATGCTCCTAAAGCAGTAAACAAAGTACATGAAGGTTTGACAGACACATTAGTAAAGAGCTGCGGTGAAACGACTGGGAAGAAGGAAAAACTAGCTCTGGCTATTTGCAGAGCAAGAAAAATGGAACTGGGTCTGACAGATAAGACAATGCAGCTCTGGGTCAGAAGAGCTTTGTCTGTCTTTTTTGCTGCTGCAGATGAAAAATGGTACCTTCAGATTTTAACAGAGAAATTTGGCTTTTAACGAGCCTCCATCTCTCAGAGTCTCCCAATTAGGGGAAGCATATTTACAGCTAAAGTAAAAATAATAAATTTTATTCAGTGGGGATGGATCAGGGAAATCTGGATCGTGCAGAATAGCTTCAATATGGTTTTCATACTGCATAATGACAGAGGTGATTTCTTCCAGGTGTATATATATGACTAGAAGCAACTCCTCTACAAATAATTTACAAATAATGCATTTCCCCTGATTGCAAATTGTCCACAGGCAGGATAGTATTTTTATTGAAATCCCTGTGGCGTCACCCAAAATTGCTGGGCAGACATGTTATGGGAGTAATGACCTTGCCATCTTACCTGTAGAAATAGAAGTAGTTGTCTAGACTGTTGTGTTATTGGCAATCCTTTTCTTCCTCAAATATTCAGAATGATCCTCGGGCCAGGATTTCCCACTTAGTTGCAAAGACTTCTAAAATTGAGGAGTTTTGAAGATTTAAGTTAACTTGGTGTTGCCTGATTGCACTGACAGAACTCATTCATGCATGAAATGAATAGGCGTCCCTGCCCATGACAGGGAGGTTGGATTAGATGATCTCTAAGGTCCCTTCCAGCCTATGCCATTCTATGATTCTATGAAATCTGTTTGTCTTAAAGCTAGTCTATGACCTTATAACAAGCTAGAAACTAATAGCAGAAATCCAGATTCCTGATTTGGGATCCGTCTGACACTCTTGACCCAAACCCTGTGTGAGGACTCTGCCAAGGCTGGTCTCGAAGGCCGGGCTCTGCCAAGAGAGCCTGGTCTCCCAGGTGCCCGCGATAGTCAGCAAAGAGAAATAAACTCCCTTACGGTGGGTGGCTCAGAGCAGAAACCCAGTTCAGGCACCTTCCAGGAATGATTCATCGATTCTAGCGAGACTACGTTGGGATTTTGCTTTGAATCACCTGGGAAAGGAGCCTGCCTCTCTCTCCTGATTACACTGGTGCTCTTCAGTACACAGCAAAGCCCTGCTGACGATCGGGTAAAAAATGAGTTTTATAGATTATGCTGTGTTATAGCTTCTAAGCCTGCTTCATTGCCTGCTTTTATCTCTTGAAATAGATGAAAACCTCCTGCAAAGGGAGGAGGAAGGTTACACTTTTTACTTATTGGAGTTTATTAGGGGTGTGGAGAATAGATGTCTGACCTCTGTACTCAGGCACTTTTAAAATTGATGCTACTGTACCAACATCTTCATGTTAATCTCGTGAATCACACGTGAATCTGAAACTGCGTTTCTCCAGAAAAAGAAGAGTGTATTAGCTGTAACCACATGGAACTATTGACAGATTGTGACTGTCAAGGAGAAAAAAAGATGAAAGAACAGTACAGAGATTTCTACCTTCCTGGTATGTATTTGTCTTACATGTTTTGAAAGGCTGGGAGCCATCCTTGCTCATGTCAGAAGCCCGTTGTCACTTAGTGCTGGGCTGGTTGTGTAACCAGCCTGCAAAGGGTGGAGGTAACGAGCTCTGTCAGGAGCGCAATTGGAAATGGTAATTGAAATTGAAAGTGGTGTCTCCCAGGTCCCCTCCCTTTCGATAACTCTCGACTCCCGCCCGGAGACCCGAAATGCCTCGCTTGTTTGTGCTCTAACCTGAAGCAATCAAAACAAGGGGGTGAGGGGAGGCCTGTAGAATAAATTGGTTGTCAAGGTGGTTCTGGTATTGATCGAGTTCTGCTGTTTATGTGAAATGGGCTCATTTCTGTGTGGCGCTCGGTTTTACTGCACGGCGGGGAAAAAGCTTTTTGGATAATACCCTTTCCACTTGCATGGCAGTAGAGCGAATGCTCCTGTCCCCCACCCACCGTAATAACAAGGGAATAAATAAAGATTTATGTTAACTGAATTCGAAAGTCTTCCCAAAAATTTGACAATATAACGTGCAAGCCTCCTCCCAAGGTTTGCGGTGGTGCTCGGCTTTGTTAAGGTTTAAAATATCTTCTGCCTTCTTTGTCCCTGAATGTTGTTTCCCACTATCATCTTCTTGCTGACAATATCCAACAATCAACATATGCTACAAAAAAAAACCACCACAATACAGCCATAATCCTCTCCTAGAGAGGATAGGGAATCAGCTGAGAAAATACAGAACACAACGTTTATGGCCCTAAATCTCTCAAAAAATATTTTTTGCAAATTTGCTGCTGTTGTTACTCTTTCCAGCTTCTCTCTAGGGCTGCCCACCCTGAGAGGTGAACCTGCAGCTTTTGGTATTGAGGGCCCTTGCTTCAGCATTCGTCCCTGCGACAGCAGCCCTAATTAGCACATGTTCATACACGTGCACGTGCACATACACACGCATACGCCCAAAATGTCCTATCTTTAATTCAGCTCTGTCTTTACCTAGTACTGTGCCCATAATCCTTTGCACCTGTCAACCTCATGAGAGATTTCTGAAACTGAAAGGAAGAAACCTTTTGGCAACGTGGTGAAGCCAGGCATACCGGCTAGCTAATGGGACATCTCAGATAGGCCCTTTAGGTGCCTTTAGGAGCTGATGACAGCGGAGCGAGTAGGTATCTCCAGCTGTTAGAGAAACTGGGAGCCAAGACATAACCTATTGTAGTGTATCTGCTTTGTTTGGTTAATAGATGGTGTTTTAGAGGCGGCAAAGTCACACTCAGAGGCATCAGCTGCCGGTCGGAGTTTGTTGGAATTTAGTGAGGATCCTGAATCCCTACAACAGACATCCGAGCATCTCGGTGGGAAAGGCTGCGTCCGCTGCAGGCGATGCTCATGGTGCGAGGGTTGGTGTTCTAAAATACGGCTTTTTCTAGAGCTGCTTCCTCCAGCTAATTGAAATATAGCACAACCCAAATTTCAGTGTATCTTCCTTGATTAATTAGTGCTTTCGTAGTCACCCAAATTTCATGATGATTTTGCTAGAGTAAGCCAGGCAGGGCTTTTGAACGTACTTTCTCAGCCTTGCACTTGACAAGCTCCTGGCATATGCGTGCGCTTCCGTGATGGGGTGACCTGGGTTTATCCTGTGCGTGAGTGAAAAAGAGACATGGGCAGCACTGGGAAAGTGTAGGCCCCTTGGTGTATAAGAAACCTCAGGAGAAAACCACGCTCGGTCTCCTGAATTCCCTGGAGAAGCGTCAGGAATTCGATGTGCCCACAAAGGGGCCATCTCAGGCATTCGCTGACATGCAGAGTTCCCCATCACAGATGTTTACAGACATTTTGGTTGTTTCTACGGGGAAATGATTTACAGCAGTGCAGAAGAGGTGGAGCTGGTGATACAACCATCCACTGAAGGATTTCTGCAGTAGAAGTAAGAGCTATCAAAATGATGGGTGATATCTCCTTCACTGTAAATTCATCCATCATACTTTTCACCTATGCTCGCTGAAATGCCCAATTGAGCTTTCTGGTTGCTATTTTTTGTTGGTTTCTGTATTTGCTAGGTCCTTGTTTTAGCTTTTTGATGCTTGGTAGGACTATAGATGGTGTGCTGGAAGTTGCCAGTGAGAACAGTGTTGCTGACATAGCAACCATAGAGGAGACTAAAATCTTCATGACAATGTATTGCCTTGCAGATATGATTAGAAGGAAAACTAGCTGAGAACTTCTGTGGTAGATACATGTTTATGGACAAAATAGCTGTAGTGCACTGAAGTGCATTAAAAAACTCCTACTCTAGACTTCCACAGATAGGGGAGGGAAGTGTTTGTGGGACTGTGAACCTTTAATCTCTGATACTGAAGAGGTAAATGATTTCAGCTTAAGAGTAAACCGTTTTTGAGCTTTGAGTAAACCGTCCTTGCTACACTTTGCTGTCTCGTAATAACCACCCAAAGTCTGGATCGCTTAGCAACCAATAGCCCAACATCCTGTAGTTCAACCACAGGATGGGTACAACAAGCTTTATAGCGGCCACAAAAGTAGAGAATCTAGTGTGATGGGAAGTAACTAAAAATTGGCTTCTCAGCACTCTAAGTGGCAGGATATTAGGAGAACTGTGTATGAAACAGCAAAATCACTTTTTTTTCTCCATTTCAAATATTGTTAGGAGATTGAATCTAAGCTTCCAGACAAACCTGAGGCAGAAGAGATAAAAATGTCGTCTTACAGCAATAAAATGCATTTTCCTAAATTCAGATTCTAGTTTGTGTCTGACTACTCAGTATATTTGAACTCTCACTGTATCTATTTTTATTCTGCTAGCTAGAGAAACTTCATAAGCATGATTAGGTCCCCATCCTATATTGCATTTTATGAGCAGAAGGGATTCTTCATAAAGTGAGAAAAGAACGGTGGGGAGACAGAAGCGTGCACCATGATGTGGTTTTAACAATCCCAGTTAGAAAAGAGTGCAGATCACTACAAATACTCAAGCAATTCTTTTCAAACCATGTTCCTCTCCCTATATCCTCTGCCCTTTTCTCTAATGGCTGCCACTTTACAGCAGTAAGAACATGCCAGAAGAAAAACAGGCATATGGAGTCTGAGAATGATACGTTAATCGGATATTGATTTAAGTGTTGATTTTTCTCCTTCTTTGGCTTGTCTTACAGGCGTGCAAGGGAAGGAGGAAACTTTTGTGGAGCCTATGAAAGTTGACCTCGCGTGTGAAGCAGCAGACGTTTCAAATAAGGATGGTATGTTGTTCTATTATTGTAACTGTCCTGAAGTGGATACGTAGTGTGCCTTTCTGGGGTTCGTTTGTACACTTCCCCCAAAAAAGAGGAGTTATAATTATGATGTCTTCAACTGAATCTTCTTGGGAGTTTACAAAATCTCTACTGTCTTGAAGTTTGTTGGAAGTACCTTTCAGTGCCATAGCCCTGCTTTTCTAGTTGACTGGGTTTATGTGTTCAATTGGTATGTTCCATCCTTTTGACTACTCACCTTCTAATTAAACAATATTTTAGGTCTGCTGTGATTTTGATCTGGATAGTAAATTGGCAAAAATATGCGTGGTCTCACACAGGAGTCAGAATATAGTATTTTGAAAATACCTGTGCTAGTGCCTGAATCCATCATGGGGCAAATGTGGGCTGTATAATCACTCTGAACTTGTTTGTTGGCCTCCGTGTAGTTTGGAGCTGATTTCCCTTCTTCCTCCTCCTCCAGAGTCCCTGCATAGCTCAGTCTGGTAGCAGATGGAACTTCTCTCCCTAGAACATTTACTGTTGATAAAACTGTCACGATTTGGTGACCCAACAGCAGCTGTGGTCAGGTTTGTGGACATTATCAATCCAAATCTCCAGACTTGGAAATGAAGTTTTTTTGTTACCGACCTCAGTGAGCAGATGACCCAGCTGTCGTCTGGAAAAGTCCTGGCAAGGGCTCAGTACCAGGATGCTGCACCAGCTCTGCAATGCCTAATGTATTCATAAACAACAAAAAAAGAGGCTTTGTGGGCTATTCCTGTGTGTAAAGAAATACTGGATGGAATGAGAGTCCTGGTGCTTAGGTTTTGGTGAGGCAAACCCTTTATCGCTCCTCTAGATAGGCTCTTATAGCTTAACAGAGCTACATAAGGGGCTTTCTTGGTTTTTACCCAAAAGGCCCTCTTTACTGCTCCAAAAGGCAGTGTTTTGGAAGTGAGGTTCCAGTCCATGTTTTATTATCATGAAGTGGACCCCTCTCTGTAGCAAAAGTTGATTTTTTGTTTCCTACTTTAACCTCTTCAGCATTGACATAGTATAAATTCAAGGCATCTCAAAGACAAAACAATTCTATTCTTTTGGATACTAGCTACATAAAGAATCTAACGGTGATTTCCTTTGTCCGATGTCAGATCGTGCTGCAGCGTTTGAATCGGTGGTGGGTTTAGATACTGGCCTGTAGGGAAGTTTTTGCAAAAATAGGAAAAGAAAGCACGCATAATGGATTTTCTTTTTTTAAAAAATACAAGAGGTAATGCAATTACAAGTGTGCAGAATAAAGCCAAACCAGCCTCTCTTCTCATCCCCTGAACGGACCAGCTGAAAACTTGTAGTCATGTTAAAATGACTGCGACCTTCCTTCTTCTTCCACCTGCGACCAGGTGGAAGATCTGCTTATCATGGTTGCAGAGCTGTGGGAGGAAGTAGAAAGGCTGAGAAGTATCAAGGAGCCTGAGAAAGAGAAAGATCAGAGGTGTCGGGCACTGCCTGACCTGAAGCAAAAACAAAAACAGGAAGACCCAGAAAAGGCAACCCAAAACAAAGGGCGTTCTGATTCCTTACCCCACACAGCAGAAGACAGTAAGTCAGAGGTGAGCCACGAATGGAAAGAAGTCTGTGCTTGGGGCAACACGCGACCCCTCCACTCCTTGCCTACCTCAGCTCCCCAGGTGCCCCTGCACAACAGGTATGAGGCTCTGGAGGTGGAAGGCCCATCGGTGGATGGTGAAGCTGAGGGATCATCTGCACTGGAGGTGTCACCAGGGTCAGAGAGGACTACTTGTTGTATCAAGACCATCTCCACAGGGAAGAAAAGAAGGGTAGTAGTTATAGGCGACTCCCATCTGAAGGGGACGGGAGGTCCAATATGCCGGGCTGACCCTGCTCTGAGGGAAGTCTGCTGCCTCCCTGGAGCCTGGGTTAAAGACGTCGCTAGGAAACTTCCTAGCCTGGTACGGTCCATGGACTACTATCCTTTACTGCTGTTCCATGTGGGTGGAAATGAAACTGAAACATGGAGTCCGCAGTCGATCAAGAGGGATTTCAGGACCCTGGGACAGGTGGTAAGAAGATCTGGGGCACAGGTAATCTTTTCGTCCATCCTTCTAATTGTGAGCAATGACACTGGAAGAAGCAAGTGCATTCAGTCGATTAATAATTAGCTCCGCAGCTGGTGTCATCGCCACAATTTTGGCTTTTTTGATAATAGCATGGGCCACTTGGCACCAGGCCTACTGGCACCAGACAGGACTTGCCTTTCTCAGAGGGCAACGAGGGTCTTAGCGCAACAGCTAGTAGGGCTCGTTGACAGGGCTTTAAACTAGACTCGAAGCGGGAGGGGGGTAATATCAAGAATGATAAAGATATGCTGGAAGTACCTGAAGAACAGAAGAAAGGAATTCCAGCCCCGCCAGCCAGGAAGTCAGGTTCATCTGGGGTCCAACTTAAATGCCTTTATGCTAATGTGCGCAGCACGGGAAATAAGCAAGAGGAGTTAGAAGTGTGCGCGCACCTGTTGGAGTATGATCTTATTGGCATCACGGAGACATGGTGAGATGAATACTATGACTGGAGTGTCAGAATAGAGGGTACAGGCTCTTTAGGAAGGATAGGCATGAGAGAAGAGGAGGAGGGGTTACCCTCTATGTCAAAGACCAGCTGGAGTGCATGGAGCTGCACCTGGGGATGGATGAGGTCCCAGCTGAGAGTTTATGGGTTAGGATTAAAGGGAGAGCAGGGACAGGAGACATAGTAGTAGGGGTCTGCTACAGACCACTTGACCAGGAGGAATGGGTGGATGAGGCCCTCTACAGACAGATAGGAGCTGCCTCACGTTCACAAGCCCTGGTCCTCATAGGAGACTTCAACCACCCCTATATCTGTTGCAAGGACAATGCAGCAGGGCATAAGCAATCTAGGAGGTTCCTGGAATGCATGGATGACAACTTCCTTCTCCAAGTGGTAGAGGAACCAGCGAGGAGAGGTGCTTTGCTGGACCTTGTTCTCACCAACAAAGAAGGGCTGGTGGGAGCGTGACGCTCAAGGACAGCCTTGGCTGCAGTGATCATGAAATGGTGGAATTCAAGATTCTTAGGGAAGCAAGGAGGGTGCACAGCAAGCTCACTACCCTGGATTTCAGGAGAGCAGACTTCGGCCTCTTCAGGGATCTCCTCAGTAGAGTACAATGGGATGAAGCCCTGGAGGGAAGAGGGGCCCAGGAAAGCTGGTTAATTTTCAAGGATCACCTCCTCCAAGCTCAGGAGCGGTGCATCCCAACAAAGAGAAAGTCAGGTAGGAACACCAGGAGGCCTGCATGGATGAACAAGGAGCTCCTGGACCAACTAAGGCACAAAAAGAAGACCTACAGAGGGTGGAAACAAGGACAGGTAGCCTGGGAAGAATACAGAGC